ACAAGAGAACTGACCAGAAAGAGATGTACTTTCTACTTTACACTCTGTCAAAAATCTAAACGTGACCTACACAATTTCATTTTCTACAGCATAAAATCAGAGCTCCCAGCACGAGTCCACAAAACAGTAAGGTGTGAAACGGAGCCAGTGAAAGCACTGACTGTAGCTTGTCTGCTGCTGCTCATTTACACATGTTTATTCTCTTTGTAACCTGAGAACTCTCACTAATAAATAAGCACCACCAGGCACCAAAGTGCAAGGGAAAAAAACACGGCAGAGAAAATTCTATCATCAATTACTTTTTGTTTCACTGCAAATTTGGAAGGAGTCCCCACAGTTCTTTTATCAGTAGATCACTCTGTTCCACTTGTTCTTTGGGAGCATGCTTTGAAAATGGCTGTTATGAAACTTATCTTTGTTACTTGAAAGATGACCATCTTTTACTTACTGCAAAAGGCCACTGAGTAATAGAAATCACAGAGCAGCTGCAAGAACCTGGAGCAGCCAGGCTAGCATCCTATTACAGTTAAGATAATAAGCTGATCTCCTCTTAAACAGCATATTGAGTATTTAGGTTTCAAACTGCTTTATTTGCTCTCATTGTTTTCAGACAGTGATCCGAGGATCCTGCCAGTGAAGTCCAAATCTTACTCTAGTGCTGCTGCAAACACATCCACACAGAAAGAAGGAAAAAGTAGCAAAGTAACCATTCTAAGGGCTGGGAAGTAAGGGAAACTTGTGCCAAGGAGGCTCAAAACATTCCTCCAACAGAGAGTTTCTCAACATCAGCCCTACTGACATGGCGGGCTGGATAATCCTGTATTGAGGGGGGCTGTCCTGCGCACTGTGTGACATTTAACCCCACCCCTGGACTCTCCCCACTAGATGCCAGTAGCACCCCCACCCTAGCTGTGACAAACAAAGTATGTCTCCAGACACTGCCAAATGTCCCCAGGAGTAAGGCGCTGGGAGAAGGCAAAAGCGCTCTGGTTGGGAACCACCGCTCTAAGAGGAGGAGAAAAATATCTGCATAAAAAGAAAAAAGGATATAGGTGGCAGCCAGAGAAGTTTCTTCAAGCATACCAAGCTTGGGCCAGTTAACCCATTTCATTCTGGGAAATGAAAATTCAACCTTAACAACTAGCTAGCTCACCCAAAACCAAAAATCTGTTTACCTGGCAAGCTCTTAAAGCTCAAAACAATGTGGTTAGAAAGCAAGAAAGAATTCTAATTGAGAAACTTACAAAGAAAATCATTAGTAACTTAAGGAAGTTTTAAGACATAAAAGAACATTCAAAGACATACTGAGTGCTTTTCAAGACCTCAAGGCAAACTATCTCAAGATGGCAAATGGTTTTCTCTCCTCTGCCAACTCCAATCAACTGGAATGGCTGCCTAGAGCCCAGAACTGAGCAGGGTTCTAAGGCTGAAAGGGAGCTCCAGGAGAGTATCTGCATCAAATATCGAGAGGGGTTGAGGTGACGAGTATACCTCACATCCACCTTCTTGGTGTTCAACTTTCTTCATGCTCAGAATAATACCCATCAAATTTGCCTGTAATAAAACACTGTAAAAAAAAAAAAAAAGTAATCCTCCACAGTGCCAACAGGCTTACCTAATGGGGGTGGGGATCTGATCCTATCACTCTCCTGCTTAAAAATCAGATCTGGATTCTCCACTTCCAGAGGATCAAGTCCAAACCAGCATAGCCTACAAAGCCCTTCACAACCCATTTACAACAGAATTCTCCCAGACTTTCTGCACCATTGCTCTCCATGGCATAACCAGCCACCAAATGTCTCACCCAAAACCACATTCCCTTTCATGGCCCCCCACCACTTCTCTGCCCAGCAAATTTCTACTCATCCTTCAGAACACTGCTCTGTGATGCTTTACCTGTTCCCTGGAGCCCGCTAGTCAAAGTAGGGTCCTCGGACCAGCAGCATCAGCATCACCAGGAAACCTGTTAGAACTGCAGAATCTCAGGCCCTACCCCAGCTCTACCAGATCTGCTTTGTGACAAGATGCCCAGGAGAATTATGTGCACATTAAAGTGTGAGAAGCGAGGTCTTGGGGAACTTGCCAGGTCCCACCAGACTCAGTTCTTCACAGGCAGGTACAGTGCCTTCCCCAAATGCAAGTGCCTGGCACATGGTAGGTGAGGCACTCTGGCGGGCTGCCTCTGAGGCAGTGTCTTCCTTTACTCATCTCTTCTATTAAGGCAGGAAAACCCAATATCCACCTTCCAGCCTCCATGGCAGCCAGAGGTAGCCAACCAACATGGTTATAGTCAATGGAACGTCAGCAGAAGCCTGCTGAGGGGGCTTCTGGAATAACTTTTATTTCCCTAATGACTTCCTACCTTGACAAACATTAAGCACCAAAAGCCAATAATAACTAAGGACTAGAGAGTGGAAACAGTCTGGGTCCTTGCTGGGCCCATCAAGCCACTGTAACACCTTAGAATCACCTACCTCCAGACTTACTGTGTGAGCTAATTCAACATCTTTATTGCTTAAGGCATCATCATTAGGGCTTCCTCTTTCCTGTGCTGAATGCATCCCTAACTGACTGAGTAAACCCTCCGTAAATGGGAAGGGAATGAATGAATACAAAGTGAAACTCCTAAAGGTTCAGAGGATTACATTTTTTAAAATTAGGGCCTCTAAGAATCTGTTCAACTTTGCCAAAGCATGTCTATAAATCAGTCTCTGCATTTCTAGACTTACTGACCCATTTCTGTTCACAGCTTTTTAATGGATAAGAAAATGAACATAACCTCTTAAAAAGCAATGGAAATGTTCACATACAAAAATGCTGTAGAAATTAATTTTCACATTTTGGAAAAGAGTAGAAAACCAAACTCAAGACACTAGCTCTGACCCTCAAAAGTGTGCAACTGCTATGGCTACTTACAGGAAACTATAAACAAAGAGAAAAAGGAAAAAGACTTATAGTAACTGGTCAGTGGCCATTCTCTCCTACTTTCTTATTTTGAGATCTCTGACACGGACCTCATTTTTTTCCAGTTCCTATCCCAGCGAAGTATTTCCATTCAAATTTCCAAGACCAAACAGCTACCATTTTTTCTTTTTGAGATGAACAGAGTATAACACCATAAATAAATATAAATAAAACATAAGTAAAACGTATTAAAAGGGGAGGGGTACACCCTGGCAGTGTTGTTCCTCAGCAAGAAAGCAGGTCCTCAACCAAGTGCTGACTCCTCAGATAGATTACCGTTGTATATGTCAATCAAATCATTTACTTTTACTTAAATACATGTATTTTAGGAAGAAACTTCATGGCACCAACGGAAAGCCAGTACCACTGGCCATAAATGGAAGACAAATGTAAAAACAAACCCAATGAAAACGTAACCTTATTAAATTCTAGCTCCTGTTGCCTACTGAAGCCTCTTACTTGAAGTTTGTTCTCCATTTGTTTTAAAAAAAAAAAAAAAAAAAGGCGGGGGAGTGAGCAAGAGGTGTCAAAGACAGGCTACCAGCAAGCTGAGACTCTCTCTTGGGCATGATCAGGGCAGAAAGAGAAGGGAAAAGGGATTCACTTTCTCACTGTGTGATTTCATTCTATTTAATTTAATTCTATTTATATCCACTTCCCACCTAAAAGTATCCTCATACAATCTCAAATCATCTTCCCTTTTTGCTCAGAATAAGAGCCCACTTCTTTAGTGCAGCCTAAATGGTCCAAAACCATCTAGTCCCAGCCCACGCTCTGCTCTCACCCACTCACTACAAGGACCCAAGGGCCGTATCCAGCCGACAGCCTGTTTCTGCATGGCCGTGAGCTAAGAATGGTTTGTAGAGATGAATACTTGTAACCAATTCGATGACAGTGGAACACTAATTATGAACTCCAATTAAGCTAAACGTTATCTCCTCCAAAAAAGGAATCCCATTTTTATTAGCAGACCTGTATTACAAAATATTGTACTTATTTCATTTTAGTCAATAAAAAATTTGTGGAAATGTGCTTTCTCTTGTTATATAAGTACCCACATAATATCCTCGATTTTGCATCTTGACCAGCAAAGCCTAAACTATTTCCTATGCAGCCCTTCACAGAAAGAGTTTGCCCATCCCAGAGCTAGGCTGTTCCAAGCGCACCAAGCTCATTCCCATCTCAGGGCTTCCGCTTTCCCACACCTGGGAAGCGCTTCCCCCTGACCTCCTCGAGGCTAGCTCTCTCTGGGGTTACTCAAGTCTCAGTTCCAATATCACCTCCTCCAAGAGGTCACCCTAACCGACCCCTCCCCATTTAAAGCAGCCTGCCAGTACATCAATTCACATCACCGGTTTTACTTTCTCCAAACCACTAACTGATATTATGTCCTTAACCTATTAAAGCTTTTAACAATAAAACCAGTAATGGCAGCAAATACTCATGGCACTACGCACAACGGAAGCACTTTACATATCAGGCTGAACCCTATAAAACTGCCAATCTGTAAGTCCTAAGGGTCAAAAATGAGTAATTTCAAAGGGTTCAACCAAACATATCAACTTGGTTGCCACTCACGACCACCTTAGGAGGGAGACACCAGAGGAGAGGAAACTGTGGCACAGAGAGTTTGTGCAACTTGCCCAAGGGTACACTGCCAGTAAGTGGCAAAACCAGGATTTGAACCCAGGCTCAACATGCCCATCCCCAAGAACGCAAGTTCCATGAAGGCGGAGTCTTGTTCATTGTCACAGCCCTCCCTCCCCAGTGCCCATCACAGGGCCAGGCACGTAGTAAGCCCTCAACAGATACACGATTGGTAGGTGGGTGGGTGGACGGACGGACGGACGACGGACGAACGAATGAATGAATCTCCCCTACACAGAGTGGTATCTGTCCCAGACCCGGCGCCCACACCTCTTTAGACAATCGGTGCAGGACTCCGCCGGAGCGGGAGGGCAGAAGACTGCGGCAGGTGGTGTCCCAGGATCTCGGGGCGCAGGGCCTCTCCCGGGGCGCGGCGCCGCGGGGCTCACCTTGAAGTCGCGGCTGTGCTGCGGGGTGTACTCCAGGGTCCAGAGGGCGCGCACCAGGTGCGCCAGCTGCTCGGTGACCTCGCCGTGGCCCTGCGCGCCGCGGCCGGCCGGCTGCTCGGGGTCAGGCGAGGGCTCCGGCCGGCCCGCGCGGTACTGGCCGAGCGCCAGGTACTCGGCGAAGAGCTCGGTGTTGCTGAGGCACTGCAGCGTGGCGTTCATGAAGCACGTGTTGCCGTGGTTCCGGAGCCCCGCCACCCCGGGCACCGGCTCGGCGGCGCAGGCGGGCGGCGCGGGCGCGG